CATTATGAATACTTCGAGTGATCTTTGAAGATGCAAGGACTATTCTCTTTCCACATCAATGCTTTCTTCATAAAAACATTGTCTTGTCAATTGGAACTCCCTTGGTTTCAAACACCAACATATAGATGAATAAGGTTATCACAATATTACAATTAGTGAAAAACAAGAAGATATTGAACTTTAGTGTGTAGAGCATGGAAAAGGAGCTTTGAGCTATTATGAGAGTAAATTGAAAGTTTATAACTACTTTTATGCCTTGTCATTAATTGTGTTTCTGATGTAAATATCCCATCCAACACGTTATCACCTACAGATTCTCATCACCATCCAAAAGCTAAAACCAAAGGTAAAGCACCACCACCACCAATGCTAAATAACCCTTGGATAGAGAATGATTGTCCCCAAACTTGAGTCTTAAGATTATAGCAACCATAATCTTTTTCAAAAATAGATATTAATAACTTTGAATTTTTGAACTTTTTAATATGAGTATCTAATTCTTATTTTATGCATTTATGAATTAATATCAGATATCTTACTTGACATATAATCATTTGAATTCTACCAATGATAAGTAAAAGTTTTCTCTTCAATTGATCTATTATAGTAATAGAGATAGAGGTAGATCCAACCATATCAGCTTCTAAGACAATTGAGTAGTAGAGTGAAAAATTTACTTTAAATCCTAAGCTTCAATGCAACACTAGAGTGTAGAAGAGAATGAAATTCATGCCCATTGGGATTTTGAATGTTTGCATGAAGATGACCATTACTAATATTGGTATATTTCTTCTCTCAAGCATGTTCCTAAATGGATGCTTGATGGAATTAGCCAATTCACTAGTATCTTGAAACTCGATATTAACATTATCAGTTCCTCTAATTTTGATGAGGGGTATCTTTCATTTCTTTCTTTTCCCATGCTCAATTAAACTTTTAGGTGTTTTGGGAAGAAGAATTACTTTCATTCTCATGAAAAGTGTCAGTATTGCTATAAGGCCAAGTGAGATCCTCCATCTTAAATAACCCAACTTTTGTGTTATATAATTAACTACATAAGCTGTAAAAAAGCCTAACTTAGTTGATCATTTGAATGTACTGTTAATGACTCCTTCTAGATGAGTGAGTGACATTTCCAATAAATAAACTCGAAAAGCTTGAATTTATGAACTAATGATCAATATTTGAATACAAATGGAAGTAACACGAATATCGAATGAGCAAATTTATTATTAATGTAACTACTTATTAAATCTAGTGCCAAAACCAAGGATGATTCAACTGGAAAAAAGGCATGGATAGGTAGATAGATGTAGCATTGAGAGTAATTTCAATATTAAAATAATACAATAATTATCATTATATATTACATTATTAGTTATATGTCTATTAATATTTTATTATCAACAATAATTTAATAAGTTTGACAGAGATTACATTTTTCATATCTTGATTGAATTTTTAAATATTTAACATCTTTTGCTTTCCATACTCTCTTACATCTTTCTTCCTTTCTTTGATCTTAATTTTGCATACCCTAATTACCACACCTCATGTATTAATATAGAGAGTACCATCATGCCTCCTTTTTTTTTTTTTTTTTTTTTTTTGTGAAATCCTCCATATCAAGTTGTTAAATCATTAAATGCATATCTTAATTAATACATGAAGCAGCATTTTATATAATCTATAAAATAAATGGATATAAATTAGGAATATGTAGCAAGTTTGAGCAAGTAATTAATATAAAATGCACCCATACTTTTTTTTCTATTTCCAATCCATTATTAAATGCATGTCGTAATTAATGTATACAATAATATTTTATGCAAAAAAGTGTTTTACAATTTGGATTAATTTAAACTGTAAAACATTAACCGTTTATAAAAATTGAGTCTCTTGATATTGGGTGCCTCTCCCATTAGACAATTTTTATTTTATAGGTCAGGACCGTAAAAGAAGATTCTCTATTTTTTATTATATATAAATAGATAAATTTTACAATTTTAACAAAATAACAAAATTTAATCCCCAATTGTTGCTTAGGGGACACTTTATATAATATATAAATATAGAGATAAATTTATAATGCTTAAAATTGAAATGAGATTGAGTATAAACTTTTATTTCAATAAGTAGACCTTCATTTTTAATTTCTCTTATTATATTAAATCTTTTTTTTCCAATTTTTTTTATGAAATATACTTTTTCAATATATTTTTTTTCTTATGCAATGTAATTTCCTCTCTTTTTTTAACATATATGCAAAAAAAGAAAATAGTGCACTGCACAATGCACATAACATATAGCACATAGAGGCCATGAGGCATGGGCACTATGCAACAAAACGGGAAAAAAGTGCTTGTATTATCAGTGGGACATAGCAATGCTCTTTATTAAAAATATATACTTATGTCCAATTTTTTAAGCTATATTTAGTATAGTCGTGGTTTTAAATTTTTTGTTATAGTTTTTAAAATTCAAACAAACAAAACTAACAATAAAAAACTAAAATTAAAAATTAAAATAAGAACTAAAAATTTTCAATTTATTGAGTATAAAATTTTAAAATAAATATCTAAAAATCTGAACTTAATTAATTTATAAAATTACTTAATTTTATTTTAGGTTTCTAAATTTTTTAAAACCACAACCATACTGAATTAAATGAAGTCTTAGCAAACCAGTTTTGGTAATTTTTAATTTTTTTTGAAAAGTGTTAAATATATTTTTTAAAACTGATATTTTAATTTTTAAAGATATTTTAAATATTCTAAAAGATTGATAGGTTTAAATTTTAAACCATTTTTATGATAATTAGTTGAAATCTTAAACTTGTTTCTTCTTGAACATGTTTTCTAATGTTAAGGTTTCTGCCACTTCTCAGGTTCTTGGGCTGCAGATTAAACTTTGTGAGCCGTGGTTGGCAGCCCACTATTTCTTTTGGTTTTTTTCCAGCCTTTACCCAATTGCCCCTCTAGCTCTTTTGGGCTGTGACAGCTATTTGAACCAGTGATTTAAAATTAAACAGGCCCAAATTATCAATAAAGTTAGATGGCTCAGTCCATTAAGATTTTCGGAAAATGGTCCATATATATTGGATTGGAAACTACGGGACGTTTTAACTTTACCCAAATATTCCTTTGTGGGCTTCTAAATAATCCAGCCCATGTTCTTATCCAAAGTCCAAATAGGTTGTTTGGACCTTCAATCTCTCTTCAATTGTACAACCTGGGCCAACAGAGCTGTCGGTCACCTGAGACCTGACTAGTGATCCAATTTTTTTGGTTTCTCGTCTGGGGTTTCGACCTGACTAATTCGGATTCGACCCGCGTTGCGCACTTGAAAATGGTGGGTGAGTCTCCCAACGGGAGTTGCTGCATACACAAGGCCTCGAGCTTAAGTGGGAACAAGCTGCTTACCACTTGATCCAACCCCTCGTTGGTGACTAGTGATCCAATTGCCAGCGGGTTCGGGATCTTTGCCCTAAATCTCTAAAAGTTATTATTTATTATCAATGACCTAAATAGTTCAGTTGTCATCTCATTTCGTTGAAAATAAAAGATTTTGAGTTCGAATCGCATAACATGCGAGTGATGTGGCATAAGAGATGTGAGATAATTGCTTCCCATTGTATAATTAAAATAAAAAAAAAATTACCCTTTTCAAATAAATAAATAAAATCTCCCTTCAATTGTCTATTGTTTGTTGGGCAAAAAAAAAACAAAAAACTCAAACTCCCTTGAATTATTTCTTCTTTATTTTCTGCAAGCAGAGTAATAGAGTAATAGCTCAGATAGAATTTAGATTTTTTTTATGGGAAGAGAGAATTTAGATTTATGAAACTAGAATGTTCTACTGTTACATTCATATTATTATGTTCTAATTCCTTAAAATTAAAGTTAATAATAAGGTCCACTTACCTGCCTTTATTCCAAACAAAAAATTTATATCTTCTTACAATTTAAAATACATCATTCGTATATAAACAAATTGAAAAACAAAGTGATCCTATTCATGAAAATTTGAGCAAGGAAAGAACATTACATATATAGTTAAAAAAATAATAATAATGTTGCCCCACTCTCCATTAAAAAAAAATTTGAAAAGCAAGAACAAAATAAAAATATTATGTATACGAAAAAAATCAAATATCATATTTTGTCCAATAAAAGACTTTATTTATAAACATAAATGATAATAAACAATATCAAATGACATGATCTTCCTTCTACATAAACATTTCTACTAGTATATAATATGCTTAATATGAATAATTTTACAATTTATATCATTTGTCTTCTATATCAATGGATTGATAATTTATGTGACAACATGTAACATATTATATATACTTGAATATTATTCATTGAACTAATTATAAATCATACAAAAGAAAATACTGTTTTTTTTTTTTTTTGAACAAGATATTATGGGGGCTTGAACCAACCTCAAAGAAGAGGGTTGCATTTTAACAAGTGATAAAAATCACTCGGCTTAATGGATCAAATGCAAAAGAAAATATTGTTTTACAATTTAATTTGAGTTAAATTGCAATAAATTGACTATTAATTTTGGAAGAGAAAGTCCTCACATTGAATTGAAGGGTTCTCCCTAAAGAATTATGGTTTTGGAATTTATATTAGGTCATATTGCACGTACTTTTTGCCACAAAATTATTGGTATAAAATTTAACTAAACTAAATAAAATTCAAAACCTCAAACCGCAAGGTTTGAGCAATTCTGCTTGACCCCATGATGAGACTTGGAAGTTGTAACAAAGAAAATTTTATTTTTACAAACAAAAATATTCAAGCATAACAATGCAAGTACCATATGTATATATGGAGTAGGTGTGGCAGATGATACAATTTGGGGTATAGTTCCATACCGACCTTGCGGGATTCCCCACATTGCAATGTGCTGTAAAATTTCATGTAGAACCTGTATGGTGCACAAGAAAAACGAAAAAATTAGAATTTTGACATATGCTGCCTGCCTTGAGGGTTTGGCTTTGCTATATCTCATCTCTCATATGCCTGCTTACCTGAATTCTCTCCGACGCTTCCTTAGCTTTGTCTCTCTTCTTCATTCTCTGACAATATTTCTCTATCTCATTCATGGTAGGTCCATTGGACCATCTTCAATTCAGTTACATTAGAAAATGAAAGTCATTTTATCCAAAGAAGATTTGAGGGTTTACAGAGAAACCTGGGAAGAACTGAGCTATCCGGTCTGGGATTGAGAAATCCTTCCAGCAGTGCAGCTTTCATTCGATATTTTATTGGGTTTTTGATATTGGAGGCTTTAGATTCTTTTTTCGTTTTTCTTTTTTTAATATTATCGTCTTTTTTTTTTTTTTTTTTTTTGTTCTTTTTTTGGATAGACATTCAATTCCATTGCTTGTTCGAGGGTTAGGGTTTTAGAGGTGAAAGTCTGTACTTTTTGGGTCTGTTTAGTAGTTTTCTGAATTGGGTATTTGAGCTTGAAGCGTGTATGTATATGGATACTAGGAGCTGGGTGTTTGAGGTTCAAGGATATTAGTATATTGGCATTCTTAGTCTGATCAAGCTATGAGTCGTAGGGTTCGGCGGAAGGTGATAAAGAAGGGGAAGGTTGTGTCAGCAAGTTACCCAGAAATTGAAGAGGACTTTATAGGTCTGGAGGTGAATGAAGCTGTTGATTGGACAAGCTTGCCTGATGATACAGTGATTCAGCTATTTTCATGTTTGAATTACCGGGACAGGGCAAGCTTGTCATCAACATGTACGACTTGGAGGGTTTTGGGTGCTTCTCAGTGTTTATGGAGTTCATTGGATCTTCGTGCTCACAAATTTGATGTGGCAATAGCTGTTTCACTTGCTTCTAGATGCGTGAATCTTTGTAAGCTTAGGTTTCGTGGGGCAGAGTCTGCTGATGCAATAATTCATCTTCAAGCTAGGAATTTGCGTGAAATAAGCGGTGATTACTGCAGAAAGATAACTGATGCTACTCTGTCTGTGATTGTGGCTCGGCATGAGGCTTTGGAAAGCCTTCAGCTTGGGCCAGATTTTTGTGAGAGGATCACTAGTGATGCTATAAAAGCAATAGCATTTTGCTGTCCAAAGTTGAAGAAACTTAGGTTGTCTGGGATAAGGGATGTTAATACTGAGGCCATCAATGCTTTGGCCAAGCATTGTCCAAATCTGGTCGATATTGGATTCCTGGACTGTTTAAATGTGGATGAGGCAGCCTTGGGAAATGTTGTGTCTGTTTGTTTCCTCTCAGTGGCTGGATCATCCAATATTGATTGGAGTGTGGTTTCAAATAGTTGGCACAAGCTGCCTAAATTGGCTGGCTTAGATGTTTCAAGAACTGGTATTGGTCCAACTGTTGTTTCTAGATTATTATCTTCGTCCCAGAGCTTGAAGGTTTTGTTTGCTTTGAATTGTCCAGCTCTTGAAGAAGACACAAGCTTCAGCACTGGTAAAAACAAAGGCAAATTATTACTTGCTCTATTTGCTGATATTTCGAAAGGAATATCTTCTTTATTTGTCGACACTACGATGAAAGGAAAGAATCTGCTTTTGGATTGGAGGAATTCAAAAACCAATGATAGAAACCTAGATGAGATCATGACTTGGCTTGAATGGATCCTGTCCCACACCCTTTTGCGTACTGCTGAGAGCAATCCACAGGGTCTGGATGATTTCTGGCTGAAGCAAGGGGCAGCACTGTTGCTCACCTTAATGCACAGTGCACAAGAAGATGTTCAAGAAAGGGCTGCAACTGGACTAGCAACCTTTGTTGTTATTGATGATGAGAATGCCAGCATAGATCGTGGAAGGGCTGAAGCAGTCATGCGTGATGGTGGGATCCGTCTTCTTCTAAAGCTTGCAAAATCTTGGCGAGAAGGGCTTCAGGCTGAGGCTGCAAAGGTATCACATCTACTGAGAGACCCGTTTGTCTTCTAAATAGTTCTGTAAAACATTAATGGTGCAAACAAGGTTATGCATTGTTTATGACAGTTCTCTTGCTCATATTATTATCATTCACCTAGTATGTTGACTCAAAAGGTTACTTGTTTACTGTCCAACACATTTAACTTGATTTTCAAGTGCAAGTGTTGAATTAGGTTAATAAATTGAACATCTTAAATTGTGTAGGCTATTGCAAATTTGTCTGTTAATGCCAATGTTGCAAAAGCTGTTGCTGAAGAAGGAGGAATCGATATCCTTGCTGGGTTGGCAAGGTCTATGAACAGGCTGGTTGCTGAAGAGGCAGCTGGAGGGCTATGGAATCTTTCTGTTGGAGAAGAGCACAAGGTTATTTGTTTTCCATCTGTTTATATCATCGCATTGTATAAACTCTCCAGTCTCGCTTTCTAATTCTAATCACATTTTTTGTGTACTGTCTTTTTCTTCTTCTAAATAAAATAGGGTGCCATTGCTGAGGCTGGTGGAGTGAAAGCTTTGGTTGATCTTATATTCAAATGGTCCACTGGTGGTGATGGAGTTCTTGTATGTTTCTTTTTAACTGCAATGCATTTTTTTGCATACTCTTTTGATTATCATACTCCAAATTTATTTGCCTGTGATAAAGATTGCTGTTAAACTTGTTGGTTTATTCATAACTTCTTGTTTTTTGTGTTTTTAGGAACGTGCAGCTGGTGCCTTGGCAAATTTGGCAGCTGATGACAAGTGTAGTATGGAAGTTGCAGTGGCAGGTGGGGTACATGCTTTGGTGATGCTTGCACGTAACTGCAAGTTTGAGGGAGTGCAAGAGCAGGTACTGCTACTTCCCATTAATTAAGATGGAAATTTGGATTCTGCATCCCAACTCTGCAAGCTCCAGGATACTATTTTTTTGTCACATGCTGGATAAATGGAGATTGGAGTGGATTCTGTCCACACCTTTTTTTGGAATGATTTGAATGGCCACTAGGTTTTCTAATTTTGGGATATTATTTTGTTAACTTGACAAAAACTGAGCAAAGCCATTCACAAATCATTGAGGATATTTGATTATAGTGTGGTCATAATATTTTAACAGTAATCAAACTTCAGATTGATAGAAGTGGTGGATTCCTTCTTAATAAAAATCAATTGAATCTGTTTTGTTACAGAGCATCTGCATATTTTTAAATTCTCAAGTATGCATTGTCTGAAATGCTTTATTGTTGTGGATTTGGATGTACATTAGTTCACTGAATTAGTAATGATACTTATGCCACTTGTTTTCTGAAAATTTTAATGCTCTTAATCATTGAGTATTCCAAAGATGGTAATGTGCTTATTGAATTTGCCATCTGTCTCTCCACCCTCTCTCCCTCCCTTCATCTGGTGAGGTTATTTAAGTTGTTGCAAATAAATTAATTTCATCTTTGCTACACGCTAGGCTGCTCGTGCCTTGGCAAATTTAGCTGCCCACGGAGATAGCAATAGCAACAATGCTGCTGTTGGACAAGAGGCAGGTGCTCTTGAAGCTCTTGTTCAACTTACACGTTCTCCTCATGAAGGTGTCAGGTATTTATCATCTTGAATTTAAACCAAGCTCTTTGTCCTTGTTCCTCTTTCTTGAATCTTCTGTCAAGTCTATTCATTAGAATCCTTTCAGCCATTTATCTGATCATATTTATACCAGTTATTTTCCTTTTCTCACTTATAAGTTTTATCCTTTTTTTCTTTTTTTTCTTGTTTTGGAATTTTGATATTATGCATATGTTTTCTTGTTAAATTGAAGAGGATATTTGGGTGCACTTTCCCAAGTCAGTCTGGGGGAAAATCGTTTTATATAGGAGAATCTCAATCAGCTAAAATTTGTGGACCTTACTTTTTCTCCACATGAGAAATTATATTGTTCCCCCAATGGGTTGCACATCTAAAATGATATCTGCTGATGAAAACAGGCAAGAAGCTGCTGGTGCATTGTGGAATTTGTCATTTGATGACAGAAACCGAGAGGCAATTGCAGCAGCTGGTGGGGTAGAGGCATTGGTATGATGAAAGCTACCTTGTCTAGTGTTTTACACTTTTACTCTTTGTAATGCTTACTTTTGGCAATGGTACATTTATGAGAACTAAGGTCATTTGTGTTTATGTAGGTTGCTCTTGCACAGTCATGTTCAAATGCCTCCCCAGGTCTTCAAGAGAGAGCAGCTGGTGCTCTTTGGGGATTGTCTGTATCTGAAGCAAATAGGTATATTTATGATTTTTACATGTGGGCATGGATACACACACACACACACACACACGCACAAGATTTACTAATACAAGAATAAAACTATGAAGTGGCAAAATTTGGATCACAAGAATTCTCAACTTTGTCCCTCAGGGGGTTTCCAGTGCTTTGGAAAATGAGGCTTAACTTGATAGGAGCCTATGCCCTATCAATTATAGTACCTTTCAATTAATGATTCACTGTTATCAATGTTTGGCCTAACCAAAGCAGTGGAGCATGATGGATGAGAACTGAATGTTCATTGCAGACATGAGGGGCTGCTTATATTTTTAATGAACTGGATCAGATGATTTCTCCCAGCTGTTACATATTTTTACTTGTCAATGTATTCTTCATTTCATTGTGCTCCTCATACGCATGAGAGATTAATTCTCTTTGCTGTAAAGATATTTTTTATTATTGTATGCTAGGATGTAATCAAATATATTTTATCTTTATAGCATTGCAATTGGACGAGAAGGAGGTGTTGCACCACTTATTGCACTTGCTCGCTCTGATGCTGAAGTAAGTATTTCAAAGGCCACCCTAAAAAAGTAGAGTATTTCTTTTTTCCTTGCACATGAGCCTTCCCGAGTTGATCCTTATCATATACATTTTATTTCAGGATGTCCATGAGACTGCTGCCGGTGCTCTTTGGAACCTTGCTTTTAACCCTGCTAATGCTCTCCGAATAGTGGAAGAAGGGGGAGTTCCAGCACTTGTTCATCTTTGTGCTTCATCAGTATCAAAGATGGCACGTTTCATGGCTGCATTGGCACTAGCTTATATGTTTGATGGAAGGTATTTTGTTGTGGCCTTATTTTATAACTTTGGGCTATTTGGTGCTCTTATTTCTGCATGCCTTTTTCTCTGCCTTGTTCACTTGAAAAGATTTTGTAAGGCTATCTTGTCTTTTCTGTTGAGAAAACTATCGTGTTTTTCTTCTTCTTTTTTTTTTTTTTTTGTAGTGAGTTTGTCATTGATACGTAAATTAATAATTTCAGCTGGCTACAATGTGTATGAAAATGATGGCTTTTCCCTATGTTGCAACACCTTGAATGTTTAAGATTATGCCCTGACTCCTAATTGATGAAGTGATTTCAGTCTGAGAAACATTAAAAGCTAGTTTCAGAAATTGTGGAGAATAAAGTTTAAGATAAATCCGCAATATTTTATCACTTTCCCTCATATCTCATTTTGAGATTATTGGTTTCTCTTATTCCAACCCTGGTTAAATAAGTAAAAAGTTGGTAAGCCAGAAATTAAGCCAACTGGCCTCCCAAAATTGTGAAGTAATACTTCTGTAGGAACCTCCCATAATTGGTCGGCCAAAGGGTTCAGAGAACAAGCCACATTTTCTGTAGTGGACACCCATTAAACTATATTCTTAACCTCAAAATGTTACATTTTTGTGAGATATCATCCGGAAGCAGGAGGCCCATATTTTCCTTAAAAGATGTGTGTTGAATATCTTGGAAATAAGTGGCTTGTGATTTCATGATTAATGTTTCAGAGAAATTTTTTTAGCTTGAATTTTCTCGTGGGAAGCCTGTGAGAACTGTTTTGGCAGGGATGATCAATGTGTTCACTTTTCTTGTTGGATTATTTTTGTCAGAATGGATGAGATTGCACCAATGGGACCTTTGTCAGAAAGCACATCAAAGAGTGTGAGCTTAGATGGGGCTAGAAGAATGGCATTGAAGCACATTGAAGCTTTTGTTCATACTTTCTATGATCCACAAGCATTTGCAGCAGCTGCTGCTTCATCAGCTCCAGCAGCATTAGCACAAGTAACAGAAAGAGCTCGTATTCAAGAAGCAGGACATCTGAGATGCAGGTTTCCTCTTCTTTTCCTTTTGTCTCATAAATGTTCTGCTTGTATTCAGGCTTGAATGCGATATAAATAATGCTGATTTTCTTGAGTTCTGCTTTGTTTGAATCATATGATGTGTTTATAATCATCCCAAACTGAATATAAAAAAATCAAGCAAGTTGTAAACAAGTCATATGTTAACTAATTTATAATTGTTACAAACTGTTCCACCACATATCTTCCTGTTTGTATGTATAATCATGCTATTTTTAACTGAATATATCTCCTCTGTTCCTTAGCGGAGCTGAAATTGGAAGATTTATCTCCATGCTCAGAAACCCTTATCCTATACTCAAGGCATGTGCTGCATTTGCTCTACTCCAGGTACCACACACATGACCTTTCTCCTGTTTTCTGAAGTCCTATATACTATGATTAAAAGGTCCCTTGGTACTATTCTTGAGGCATAAAATAGATTGCTAATTAAAACAAGTTCTTAAAGTCTCTGAATCTTTTAACTGCAGTTCACCATTCCTGGTGGTCGACATGCTGTGCACCATGCAAGCCTTATGCAGAGTGCTGGAGCAGCACGGATTCTACGTGCTGCAGCTGCAGCTGCAACTGCCCCCATGGGGGCTAAGATCTTTGCAAAGATAGTACTTCGCAACCTTGAACACCACCAAGCAGAACCTTCCTTGTAATGAAGGAAGGCAACACATTTCATGTTTGGAAGATGAATATCATATCCCATTAGAAGATTTTATGGTCTCTGTAATTTCTGCCTAAGAGATCCATCAAAGCAGGACCAATTAGTATTTTTTTGTGTTTTCTACTTCTACTTTCTAGAGTGTTTGTCTTAGGTTCAAGAATGAATCTCTTTCCCCTTCTTTGTAAGAAATCTTTTACCTGGGGACTGATCTAAATCTATATACCTCATTAGTATTTCTTTTATCCGTATTCATTGTGACAACATTTTCTATAGAATCATAAAAATGTCTATTGCTTTGAGACTAAATTCTATCTGTATTTACCAGAATTTATGCTAATTTCTGAGTTTTTTTTACCCTCTATCCTTATGCACAAGTTAAGGGATATAATTAATACATTTTTTCACAATTAATTTGCATAAAAATAGTAAGTGTTAGCTTTGAATTAATCAATTATTTAATTAAAATCCTCTACATATTAATATTGTTAAAATAAATATTAATTTTTATAATTTTTTATATATAATTAATTATAAAAAATTATATTTATTATATTTTTAACGTACTTTAAAAATACAAGTTAAACAAATTTTTTTTCTTTTTTTTTTTAATCCAAAAATTCCACTTTTTTACTGTACCAGATTATCCATATTTGCTGTGAATAAATAACAAATTCCCTCACAAATTAAAAGATTATGCACCTAATTTAATCTCATATTGCTAAATAATCAAAGCACGTTACACAGAATGCAGTGTGGCAAGAATAAACACCACATCTTAATATTCTTTCAGTACATAGCAAGCTGCAATAGTTGATCCTCATTAAACCCAAATAGATTCATAAACCAGTGGTAGATTGTCAAAAACCATCCAAACAATGGATTTTCTGACATTGTCATCTCTCCAGATTCTTGGTCCTTCAAGTAAGGCAGTATGTACTTTCTCATATCACTTTCAGAGATTTCAAGATGACCACCAGAAACATTTATGAATTTCACTTTCCCAGCTTCATCCAAGGTTTTCAACCCTATCCAGTCTTCGATGTACAGCCTTGTCTGTAAATAAAATAACTATGCTGTCAAAATTAAATTGGATCACTACCTAAGACTAGGAGGGTGAAAGCAGGTTTACCTCTTGTGCAGGCAAGATAATATCATAAGACCCATCTGCATAATAACCAAACCAGGAAGTTTCTTTAGGTATCAAAACTGCATCCTTCTCGAACTGGCCATATGTGTGAAGAAGAGATTAGTGCCAGCAAACTGGAAAGATAAGTTACAGATAACTGATCATAAGTTGGAAGAGAAATGTTACTACCATGATAAGCACCAAATTATTCAGGCTGGCAAACCGTTCTTTGTAAGTGGAATTTCTTGTAGCCACGATTTCATTGTTGAGTTTTGGAAGGAATTTGCATCCTTTAAGATACTTAGGAATGTCCTGAAGAAAGGGAATGAATATTAATTGTAACCTCTAACTTTGAAGTAGTTAAAGACTAAAAGTAAAATACAGAAGGCAGAAAAATTCAAGTGTACATGCATTTTGAAAGAGTTAAGAAGAAATATAGGCGAATAGGGAATAAAAGATCTTTTAAGTTAAGAACTACACTTACAGTAGGGACTTTAACATAATTACTAGGAGCCAGGTGTTCCTGCAATTTATACAAATTCAAGATTGTTTAGATCCAGCTTTAATAAGCAAAACATGAAAAGCAAATTGTATTGGTCCAGCAGGAAGGGTAGCAAAGGAGTTGAGATAGAGGGTATCTCATAGCTGAGATGATACAATCATTGTTCATATCATCTGAAGTATATTGCTATTCCTTCTTCCCATCGAATAAACTTGGCTGCAATGAGAAGATTTAAGAGTTGGGAAAGAATTTTGTACCTGAACAAACTTGCTGTAAATCTCCAGCTCGATTAAAATATCAACAAGAAAGCATACCAGACTATGCTGCAAAATAGGGACATAATGTGTCATACCAGACTCTGCATTAATAGTCTGATATCACCCTTATAACAAATAAAGAATGCAATAAGTAGTGGGACGTTATATCATGAAGGAGAGCACTCACCTCACAAAATGGAACTGAAGCAATACCAGCATGGGGGCCTGCCAATGATATGAAATTCTTCACCTGATACAGAATAGGCTAAAGTTATTCGTATGTATGTTAAATTTTAATTTAATTAGAAGAAAAAAGAAACTTGGCAACAAGTAAAAGAGAGAAGAAACATAAAACTACAGCATCTTGTAGAGAAAAAAAGAGAAAATAAAGACTACATTGGATGCCAACTAATGAGGTGATTAACTGAAAACTACATTCAAGATAAGTGTTTTCAAAAATCAATTCTTACAGGGGGTGCTCCATCACAAAATTCTACAATCCCTCGGCCAACCATAGTACCCTACAAAAAGAAAAAAAAATCACATCTAATCAATATGTAGAGCACTCATATTCCTTACAGTGTATGTAGATACTCAATTATATGTTACATATGTATGTAGACATGTGCATAGAGAAGTATGAATCATGAACAATAAGAAGATCATGAGGTCTTATGGTTGTTTTTTGGTATAAACGAAACTTTAATCCACATTAATCACCTGAGAAAGTCCAACTATGTTGTAACCCTTGCTAAGTTCACTCATTTTCTTCACCTGTAAGTGAAACAGAAATTTATGGGGGAAAGAAGTTAAACCTTAAATGCAGAAATGGCCAAGTGAAACATTTTACCAAAACGCTTTACCACCTTTTTGCAAGCAATTGCCACCTGCAAACACAAAACTAGTAGAAGTTTATAATCAAAATATTGAGAATGAAGGAGTTAGAATGACGAGTAACACTCAAAAACTCAGAAAATCACCTGCTTCATAAGGGGCATGGTCCATGAATCCCACGATCCATCTCCAATTTCTCTGCAGACACAAAAAGGATATCTCAAATGATTTATTCAGGGAATCAGGATCTAATAAAGATGATTAATAGTAAATTTTCTAACATAAGTGAAATTTGGTGAACTCCACTTCTCAGTAGCTTCCTCTAACCTCATTAAAAGAGTATGGTAGAGAATCTAGCAGTAACAATAAATGCAAATACTTAGGACTTAGCTAATATCTAATATCACAGAGGCATGATTTCTTCAGTACTACGTACCATATACTAAACTCATGACATACACAGATTAGTGAATAAAACTACTTTTACTTTCATAGTCATCAAAATTAATAACAAATATGAAAACAACATCATACATGCAGTAGCCTGGAGAGCCGGACCAGCTGCTTAAAAGCTCTGTGAAGCGCGTGACTCCTTTGCCTTTGCAACTATTACTAAGGCCTGACATAGAACATCAGCATCCCACGACCAGTGCGAATATATTATACACGTTAAAATTTTCTTTTTCAGGAGCCAATATATATATAAATATATATATATATATATGTATATATGCTAATCAATACATACAATCTATTTACTTTTTTTTTCTTGTTTATGTTTATTGAGAGCCAAAGATGAACAATCAACTTGGATAATCTTATGGCAACCTTGTTCTTGTACGATATACATGTACACCCGACAGAAACTGGTTGCTGTCAGAGAACATGCAAGAATTATAGACAATTATAAAGCAAAAATAGCAACAAGAATCATATGACAACAGAGAGAGAAAATAAAAATGGAAGTCTAGGTTGGTAAGAGAAGAAGATTTACCATGCAGAACTACAAATGGAAGGGAGCGTGCGTGAGGAAAAAGAGTGAGTGTAAGGAAGAAGATGGTGAAGAGATAAGAAGAAGAAGTCATTGTTATTAAAAATAAGAAAGAAATTAGTTTGCTTCAGAGTTGGAGTTGCCCGGTGTCCTGGTCACCGAGCCAGGAAACTAGCTAGGGAAGCAGCCGAATCGACTCTTGGGACTTGGGAGGAGACTGTCAACAATACTACATTTGCGGGATCGATAAGTAAGGTAAGTACTAAGTAGAAAGTAGATTTGTTAGGGGAGGTGAGGAGGTAGGATGGTGAAAACATCACAAATCGCCTCAACCACCGGTCTTTCTTACCTACAACATGTCGGAGCCGGCTTATTGCCAACTACCGTACCTGCCGTCTCTTAGCGCACCAACAGATTTCTGGAATCACGCGCCTCCACTTTGGTATCTACAATTTTTTGTTGTTGACACATTGGAGCCGGCTTCTTGCTAACAACCATACCTAAACAACAGAAAAAAATAAAAGAAGTGCAATCCGTACTTAAAAATACCTATCTCAAACAATAAATCATGTATTTGGAAGCTCAAGAATCATGTCCTCAATGACTACCTGCATAGGTACTACTCTTTAAAAGGAAAGAAAATAATCTTATTATTGAAGGCAAAGTTTAATATATACAATTATGCGTTGTCATCTTAAAATGGTCACATGGTCAGGATAAGACAATTGCAACATGAGAGACTACTGTAATAAACAGCCATCTCTTGTAAAATTTGCTGCAATTACGTGTAAAACTCAAGTATTTGTTTATTTTATTTGCTTTCTGGAGTTTTGTGTGAACTCCTGCCTCGCACAAGCTTCTTCAAGCAGAGGTTTAAGAATCTTCTTCAAGTAGAGAGTTGATTTGTCCCCTCATGTGCATTTCATATTAGGCTTTGGTGTGAGATAAGGCCAATATTGATTGTTAGATTATGGCCCAAAGGGCTTTTCTTTTAAAAAGAAACCAAAACTCTCATACATAATCCATTGGTCCACAAAAAAGAGAGATAGAAAGGAAGAAATTGTTAATTTTAAAAAAATTATTGAACCGTACCAATGGACCAATGGACTAATGGACCATGTGTTAAGAGTTTGTTTGTTTTTTTTTTTATTAAATGATTGATCATCAGTCTAGCTGATAACGGACCTGAGCACACCATTCGGCTTTGTGCAAATAATGCGCCATCAGCGTCAAATCTTTCAGTGCCACTTTCTAGTCTATTTGAAAAGACTACATCATTCATTATCACCTTAAACACTTGCTTCCCAATTCTCACGTATGAGGTTGGGGAATGGGTGAAGAAAGATAATGTGTGCGGTAAGAAGTGAAAGGCAATTAAACAAGGGAAGCATGTACCCAATATGTATTTATATGCAGCTAATTTCATCCCAAAATGTAGGATAAACTCCAAAAGGCAATATTAACTTCAATTACAACCTTGAGCATCTAACTCAATAAAAATTTTCAGCCGCACCACCAGTTATGGTCTTGTTCTTCCCAACTCAATAGGAATTTCAATGGGTTCAAGACAAGCATGGCATGGTTCTTAAATATATCAGTCTAAACCAACAATGACAAATTCACTATCGGAGATACCGTCTGTAATTGGAATGCCATAACAAAAATCCGGCTAGTTAGCTAGACACCCACCCAAATGAGATCTAGGCTCCATCTTCAAGACATTGGATGCCGTCTCCTGCATTTATCCACTCGTTAGTCATGACATTTGAGTTTAAACATGCAGAAACAAAAAGATAAAAACAAAAACAATTCACCTCTTAGGTCTGCTACGGTCTTCTTCATGGTCCATCACTCCACCAGGTTCAGAGTAGATCTCCTCGAGCCCTCGGAAGTCCACATCGGCCTGCTTACAGTGTGTAACTTCTGCCAAAATGTAAGTAAGCCACATCGACCAACAGACCCCGGAATTGAACGAGCAAAGTCATGGAAAGCTAATTCTCAATCTAGATAACTTGTACGTGTACATATAAATTATGTAGCTTAAGCTTTTGGGTCATACTTAATACTTTATGCATTTTTGCAACAATTAATGAACCCCTACTCCCTCCCTTTTCCCTTCTCCCCTTCCACTCTTGCTCCTAAAAAAAATGTCTACAGTCTTCTAGTAGGATAGATGTGGAAGAATCACTTAGATCTGTCTTCTTGAACGCTTAACAAAATTATAAGGCCATCTTCTGCAATTTATACAGCTTGATAATCCTAGGCCAAATCATACTAGAAGGAGCAAACAATTTAAATGTAAAACTGGATTCAACTGACCTTGTGGGATAGAGATTTCTTCACTTCTTCCACCCTATCTTCAATGTCCTTTCCGTGTTTCTTGTCCAACTCACTCATAGTATCAGCCCATTTTATCTTCTCTTGAATTGTGATGAGTAGGTTGTCTGATGTTGCCAACCTACGTTTTCATTCAGATAGAGGTGTTAGATAAGATGCAGACATAATCACATTAAAACATAAGAACATATGTGAACCATCAAATTTATATTTCTTGGGTAGCTATTGCAGCCATAAATACACAAATTAGCTCTTTGTACCAGAGACCTTACCAGCTTGACAGTGTTTGTATCATATTCCCAAGTTGACCTGGCCTCAGATCCCTCCCAGCAGCAAACTGCACCTGTATATCACAACAAAATTTTGAGACATACTCCTTAAAGAGCTCAATATGACAATATCCCAAAGGGAGAAAAGGAAAAGAAAAACATCGACTTCAAAGGTGATGGCAGTTAGCTCATACCTCAAAACATCGTCGCAGCTGATCCAGCTTCCCTCTAACTATGCCCTAAAAAAATTGAGAGAAGAAGATCAACAGAAGAATTTAAACAAAGAAAGAGAAATCTGAGGCCATTAATGTATTTCCCAAAGCAAACTCAAGCCAAAATTAGGTCCCAAGGAATGTGAAGGAGAGAATTGAATGAAAAGAGTACCTACCGCATACATGCACTCATTGATAAGAAAATCTTCAAGTTCACGAACATTTGTAACATCTAATTCCCGCATTAGTTGATCATATGGCAATACCTGGAAAAGAACTGGAAAATTAGAACCAAAGAAAGATAAATGCAGCATAACAGAGAGAAGGAAGCTCAAACACAACCAATATAGGAAACCTGAATGACTGTTGATTAATGACTTGCCAGAGAAATACAGGTTTTTCAATTTCATTTAGGGGTCAGAAGAGGATGTAGTAAAAACATTTTTAAAGAGATTCTAATCAGCTTGTGGCCTGTGCCATCAAGTTTTAGAGGGATTTCAAAGTGGCAAGATGGTCATCATCCTAAAATTTGCATAATCACAACAGACATTCAACTAAAGAGATGGATAGAATCTCAAAAAGAAATGTAAAAGATAGTAAAAAGGCTATAAAATCAGGGCAGCACACCTTGTTTGTCTCAGCAAGTGTAAGTACAGTAAGTTGCTTTAACTTGAGGACTTGTTCAGGAGCTAATTGAGGAAGATGCCCAGCATTATCTAATACATTCAGCAGCCAAAATTCATTCAATTTGAAACCATGCAGACAAGTATGCTAAAGACAACTAAAAGGAATTAATCATTTCTTTTGACTAGCTGGCATCTGATTCCCATTCAATATATGCACTATGAGATGTTATAGTAATAATATTTCACAATCCATTACAAGGCTGACATTCATTAAAGTTAAAATGGTTTAGCATTTAGCAAAGGCATTTTGGCCTCTGAATCTCTTGCAAGTTTGTTAAAAAATTTGGCCAAAACAAAAACATTAAACAAAAGAGAAATTGAGAAAATGTATGAAACTGGATAGGATATCAAGTTTCTACATTTAAATTCAATCCAACAAGTAAAAAAGTATGTTTCAAAATATTTCTAGAAAGAAAAGCCAACTTCACTCCAGATTCTACCATCATGCAGATGCATTCAATGCCTTGGAATTAGGCAATGTATAATAACTCAATTTACATTCAAATCATTCATACAGCTAACTTATAGTACAATAAGGAGATAAATAACACCCAAATTTCAACATGATAAGAACTTACAAAAAGCTGGTTTTTCTACTTACTCTTGTAATCACTCCAAGTGCCATGTGCAAACAAACGAAGCAGGTCCACATAAACAGAACTTTCTGTTCCTTGAAGCTGCAAAATTCCATTGGTTTCACATAAATTCTCAAGTAACTAAATTCTCAACAACAAACTCATCTAAAAATAAGAAAAATGTGACTGCACAGACAACAAACTTGTCTGAAAACTAATTCTTATTAGCTTATTCTTCATGAATTACAGAAGGCAATCATCAATTCCATCTTTCCTTTTCCTTTTTCCGATAAACATTCAGAACCATGTAGCACAGAAATAAAGAATCAATCTAGAATAAGTACAATCCCCGAAATGTAACGCACTAACATCCCTTTATTAGGGATAGAACAAATAATAAGCCCATATGAAGTTGCCAACTTTTATGAAAGTAATCAACTTTTACATGTAAACACATTACCCAAAATCTCAAATTCTCTTTCTCTAAATTTTCTCAGCAACCAAACAAGAGCGCACCAAAAAAAAAAAAAAAAAAGCACAGTGAAATCAAGGAAGAAAGTGGGAATGGAATCGATTCTGACCTCAGCCACGGTAGGGACGGCAAGAATCTCGGAGAAAGCAAAGAGAGAGGGATGCGACGTCGCGTCGGCAATTACAGACCCTAGGGCAGAACCTTTGCTGGCGGAAGCTTGCTTGATGTAGTGATCGATTAGCTCTGCTTGTTTTTGCTCGATATCCATGTTGAATATGATTATCCCAGAAACAAAACTAAATACTAGAATCAACAAATCAAAGAACAGAATTTCCAAAAATCGTTGAGGAACAGCGGAGAAAGAGACATTCAGAGGCAGAGGGGAAACAAAAGAAGGGGTTTAAGGATGACGGTGAATTCGATGGTGAGGGAATTTTTAGGGTTTATGCTGTGTGAAGAATCCGATGACCTAACAGAGCAAGGATTGTGCGCAATCCCTCGGAGAGAAGTGAGAACCTCGAAGACCCCCCGCACAAAGTTTTCCAGTTCATCCACGACTCTCACGGCAGTTATATATTACGTCGAAATTCCATTCCTGAATGGAAATAAAAAAACAAAGTTCAATAATAAAATTCATCATCATTGAGTAAAGGGCAAATAAGGATTTTAATTTTGTATTTTTTATTTATTTAAAAATGTTAATTTTATTAGTTTTTAAAT